TTGCATATTTGTCACACGGGTGCAAGTCACTGGCCATGCTCCTATCTTGCCTTGGATAAAAAGTTCTCTGTATGTTTGTTCACTCGTGCAGTTTCTTCTCAGCTCTCGTCTGCCTTATTCGTATCCCTCCTTGCCCAGCTAGGATCCCGTGGTGTTTGCTCAATAATACTGTTGCAAGTCCCCTCCCCTCCCTTCCCTTCCTGTCCCCTCTGTGGCATCTGGTAAGGACTGCAACCAGCTGTGACACCCGACAATGGCTTCAGACATTGCCAAACAGCCCCTGGAGGGCACATCTCATGGGGGATGCATCGCTCTGTCCCCATGGCCCCGGCTGAGGGTGCCAGTGGTGCTCAGAATGCTGTCTCCTCACCTGGGTCACCCGCTCCGTGGCATCTGACCTCATCGACCCCTCCCTCCTCGAAGCATTTTCCCTTTTGCTTCTAATGACTTCACGTCCCCACGATTTTCCTTTTCTCTCTCAGGTTGTTCCCCAACTTAGTATAGTTTAAGGGTCGCTAATAACACTTTCATTTTTGTCTACTGATGTATAAGAACAAGGTTTAGCCCCACCGGTTTGTCTCAGCGGATAGAGCGTCGGCCTGCAGACTGAAGGGTCCCGGGTTTGACTTCGGTCAAGGGCCCATGCCCAGGTTTCGGGCTCAATCTCTAGTAGGAGGTGCACAGGAGGTAGCCGATCAGTGATTCTCTCTCACTGTTGATGTTTCTATCTCTTCCTCTCTGAAAACAATAAAAATATATTTTATATATAAAAAGAACAAGTTGTTTTAGTGCCATAAATATAAAAACAGGCCTAGCTGAACCCTGGCTCAGACTAGCACTACAGTCACATTACCCATGGATAAAGACACTTGTAGACATGCTAAAAAATATTAGGTTGTCAACTCAGAAAATTCGTGAAGGATACATAGCATTTCCAGTTTCTTTTAAGGTTCACAAGCAAAGATGTTGGGGGCCAACTGACCCGACAAACGAACACGGCGGCTGTACCATCACCGACCGCTCTGAGGGTGTCCCCGCCTATGTTTAACTGTCCTGTTGGCAGATGTCAGCAGGCAGCTGTGGCCAATGGCGAGGCTGCGGGGGGGCGTGGAGAGCAGGTGTGGGCCCCTCACTCCCAGCTGTGAACCCTTCAAACCCCCGCGTTAGAGAACGTGCCCAAGGCTGGAGTTTAGCTCCTCGGGTGGGATCATGCCCCTCAGAGCTGGGGACGGGGAGTGTGCAGACCTCTGTCGGGGAGCAGCTCTGGTCCACCCCCCGCAAGGCCCCCCTCTTATTTGTCCAGCACCCTGTGTACTCACATCGCTGGTCAGTACAAAGTCTGAGCAGCCCACGTGGCCAGAGCTGAGTAGGAGAGAAGGTCAGGGAGGGAGGAGGCCTGACTGCATAGACCAGTGATGGCGGACCTTTTGAGCTCGGCGTGTCAGCATTTTGAAAAACCCTAACTTAACTCTGGTGCCGTGTCACATATAGACATTTTTTGATATTTGAAACCACAGTAAAACAAAGACTTATATTTTTGATATTTATTTTATATATTTAAATGACATTTAACAAAGAAAAATCAACCAAAAAATGAGTTTGCCTGTCACCTCTGACACGTGTGGCATAGGTTCGCCATCACTGGCCTAGAGTTTTGTAGGTGATTCGAAGGATTTGGCTTTACTCTGGGTGTCATGAGGCCCCGCCTGGGGCTTCAGAACAGAATGACCACAGTGTCATTGTGGCTACGTGGTGGACAGCAGTCTGCAGGAGGGCAAGGTGTGAGCAGGGAGGGTAGCGAGGGGCACATCACAAGAATCCAGGTGAGGTGCCTGGCCGGCGTGGCTCAGTGATGGAGCATCGACCTCTGAACCAGGAGGTCACGGTTCAATTCCCGGTCAGGGCACTTACCTGGGTTGTGGACTCGACCCCCAGTGTGGGGCGTGCAGGAGGCAGCCAATCCATGATTCTCTCTCATCATTTGATGATTCTATCTCTCCCTCTCCCTTCCTCTCTGAACAAAAAAATATATAGATATTTTAAAAATATTTCTGAGTTTCTACCTGGCACAGGTAATCAAGCTTCTCAGGTAATACAACCTTCCCTGGCACATTCTGATCCACAGGGTTTTGTCCTGTTTTGTCCATGTCAGATCTGCTCCAACGGGTCACGCTAACGCTGAGCTGCTGTGCAGCGTGCATGTGAACATGTGAGTGTGTGTAGGCGTGTACGTGGCACCAAGCCTTCCTCCTTAGTATCTCTTTTGTAGACATGACCTCTCCCTTATATTTGATACCTTCTCTCCCCCTGGAAGTCCCCCATTCATATCAACTCTGAACCACCTGGCTCTTCCCCAGAGCAGGTGTAAAGCCTGTTTTAATGTAAGGTAGCCCCGGAACCGCATCTGCTAAGGAGGGTCTCCCCAAGTTCCTGTTTCAGGCCCCCTTCCCCTCCCTAAGACCTCGCTGCTGTCCTAGGAGCGGCGGGAGGGATCCAGTGACCTGTGTGGGCCGGGCTGGGGGTGGTGGGTAAAAAGATACCAGTCACCCCCTCTCCTTCCAATAATCAGACAGAAAACAGCCTGGGTGGCCAGGTGGGAAGATACCTGGCCCTCAGCTGGTCTTGCTCAGTTTCCTGGCAGCTACTGCCCCCCTGTGGACGGTCGCAGTTACTGACTCCAAACCGGGCTTCCTGGCCAGGCTGGTCTGGCCCAGGCTGTCTGCTAGTCGCTCCAGGTCCCTGCGCTTTCGGACTCACAGCAGCTTCGCTGTCAAACACGCCTCCCTCCCTCCTACGCGGCCCTCTGTTCAGGCAGCACGAGGGCCACACGCGGACCCCCAGTGGCTTGGTTTCCATAAGTCAGTTTGAGGCAGAGAGACTCAAAAGTGGCCCCCAGTGACCTCTGTCTCCGGGGATCCCTGCCTCCTGTGATCCCTCCACCTGACCGTGGGTGGGGCCTGGGGCGGCTGTGCCCCTGGAGGTGGGAGGTGACAGCTGGGCATTGCCCGGGCGTCTGGAAGCCTGAGTGGTGGGTGGAGCCCGTGGCCTGTTACCCATCAGGAGGCCCTGACTTGCCCAGGCCAGCCTGGTCTCGCATGAAAGGGTACCCGGGCCCTGGGCTCCATCCAGACTCATCCGTCAGACTCCCAGACTCGCTGGCCCACTGCCCCCCGCCCGCGCCCCGTTGCTGGGCCCCTGGCTCTGCCCACATGGACCAGGTCGCATGCCCCAGGTCGAGTCGGGCTTGCTCGCCTGGTTTGCTCTCGATGCCTCAGCAGGAGCTCAGCTCTGGGTTTGCCCGCAGGTTCCCTGCAGCAGAGGCTTGTGGGAAAGGACTGCTCCTGCCTCACCTGGGCGCTGCGGGGCGGCCACAGCCCCATTCCCGTCTCCCTGGGCGGGTGGAAGGGGGAACCGTGTCCGCTGGGCGCCCTGGGCGTCTAGGGTCATCATTCATCCTTGGAGCCCACGGTGCTGTCCCACACATTCTGGGAAACAAGTGGTGTTTGTCGCCCCTTTTTTCTGTCTACGATGTGTTCTCCTCCATCCGTGGGCAGCACCCCTGCCTTCTTCTCTGAAGACTCCTTCCTGCAGGCAGCAAGGTGTCCTCTGGCTTCCACAGCCTCTTTTTATCTTTATTGATGTCAGAGAGGAAGGGAGAGGGAGGGCGGGAGAGAGAGAAACACCAATGATGAGAGAATCATGGTTCAGCTGCCTCCTGCACGCCTGCTACTGGGGATTGAGCCCACAACCCGCCATGTGCCCTGACCGGAATCCAACTGTGACCTCCTGGTTCATAGGTCAACGCACTGAACCGCACCAGCCGGGTCACAGGGATTTTTACGGGTCGCAGAGTGGTCCTGAGACCCCGTGGTGTGGACCAATGTGGAGGCCTGGCCGGGGGAGGCCGGCGGGCCCACTTCTCGGGGCCCAGGCTCCCCGGAACATCGCAGTCAGTTTGCAGTCCGTTTGGCTTCCTCTTGACAGCGGGCCAGCGGCTGGTGAGGAAAGAGCCGGCCGGGGAGCTGGGAGGCGGCGACAGGGGACTAGAGCGGGCCTTTCGGGGAGTGATAAGCGGGAGAGGGTGGTTTGGGGCGGTGCTAAGCCTCACCATTAACGCATTCCTTCCCGAGTCCTGCTGCTTGGGGTGAGAGGCTGCGATAATAGTGAGAGCTGTTTGCTTCACGGCTCTTTCTCCTCTGCTTTTGGCTCACACAGTGTCACTCAGTGGGGCTCCTCCTGGACAGCGTCTGCTCTAGCTGCAGGGGCCGTGGCCAGAGGGGCAGCAGGGGGCTCTGGGGCCAGCTGACTTCTGCTCACCTCTCCCACTGGGAGCCACTGGGAGCCGTGGAAACCAGCCTCCGCGCACCCTGCAGGGGCCGAGGGGCTCTGGTCAGTGGGGACTAGTTCTAAGGAGAGAGATGAACGCAGTGGCACGCCTCCCCCTCGGAATCGCCTCCTATGATGGATCGCTTTAGAGTTTACAGAGCTCACAGGCCCCGGCCGGCCCTGCCTCTCCCCGCCTGCGCGTGTGTGTTAGTCACAGTGTGAGGCCGGGTGTCTCATAGTGTCACATGCATCTTCCCTTCCCAGCCCCATTTTTTTTTTCTCTCCAAAGAATCTTGTAAAAAAAAACAAGATTCAAGGCTTAAAAAGAAACAGCACTCCTCAACTTCAGGGCACATTATCCACAGTCAAATCATTCTTTTGCTCTGCGTCATTCACACATTCAAGTTTCAGTCCTCTGCAGTCCGACTCTCTCGTGTCTTTTGAAGTGAACGGAAGAGTTTGCTATTTACTGTTATTTCCTGGGTAACAGGGCTGCCAGGGTACAGTTGAATTTCAGAAAAACAGCGGATCCCTTTAAAAAATAGAATTCGCAGCCAAGATTGCGTAAGACAACACTGACGCTGAGGAATGATTGGTTATCTGGAATTCGAATTTCATCAGGTGTCTTATATTTTAATTTGCTGAATCTGGTTCACCCTACCTAATGGCAAGCAGGTTCTTTCTTTTGCCTTCGCATCCTATAGCCTGTTTTCACATGCTTTTGTAGCTAAAGACAAAAACCCAATTCTCTCAGAAAAACAATGACCAGTTGGCAAAAAAAGAAAGAAAAAGGTTCCTTGGTGTGAAACAGAATGTGCAGCTCAGACCCCGCGCCCTCAGGGCCGGTCTTGCAGGTGGAGTTCTGCAGCTGGGCTGGGGCTGGGGCTGGGGTTTGGGAAGTTGCCGGCTTCATGGGGATCCGCTGGCCCCACCCACCGGCTGAAAGGCGATCCGAGCTGTAGCGGAGCCGGAAGCTGGCTGCGGCTCCTTCCCAAGGTAAGGGTGTCTTCCCGCTTCGGTCCCAGCTCTTTGCAAAGCGTGGAAACGTTTGTAAAAGTTGAACTCGGCCAGGTGACAGCTTTTTGGGGTGGGTGGGGGCTGGGAGGGGACAGGGGAGGGCGCTCCGTGAGCAAACTGCCTCCTGAGCCCGTCTGGAGGTCCGAGTGCCCACCGCCCGGCGGGGCTGACCGGTCCTGGTGACTTTGACTTGTGAGCTTTAGTCCCCCGGGAAGGCTGCGAGCGGAGCTGTGTGGAGCCTGACACGCAGTGGCTGTTCGCCCACGTGTTTCATGGTTTAAGTTTTAAACTGTGGGAACTCCCTTTTATATTCACTCCGAATGACATAGTCACCTGTGTGAAGGTGACTTAGGGCCTCACTTGTTTATTTTAAAGTGCCTTTTAAGGTGGGAATTTTAGCTCCCCCCTCCCCCGCCTGGGTGCGGGTTCGGCTTTAGATGTTCCCAGAGCCAAGCTGTGACCTCTGCCCTTAATTTTTTTCCTTTTTTTTTTTTTTGCATCTTGCCGCGCTGCCCAGGGGTACTGGGGGTGTTTCCGTTTGTAAATGAGTTGCATTGCTTCACTAAGCTACCATCTTCAGTTCAGAGATCTTCTTTTTTCTTGGAACTAGAAGGTGGAGTAGAGGGAGCGGCTTTGATGGGCAGGGCGGGGACTAGACCTGGTCTGTCGGCTTGTTGACATCACGAGCCAGCCTTCAGGACGGTTTTGGGTGAAGGGGTGAGTCCTACCAGGTTGCCACCAGCGCTGTTCCACGGGGGCTGCTGGCAACTATGACAGATCCACCGGGACAGGGCGGCCGCCTCCAGGAATTGGCCCAGAGGCGCATCTCCAGTTGTGGGAGGAAACCGAGATGGGTTTTTCATTAGGGACGAGGGAGTGGGTGGAGGCTCTGAAAGAGAGAGGTCCCGCAGGTGGTGGTCCCGCAGGTGGTGGAGTCGCAGGTGGTGGAGTCGGGCATGGTGGAGTCAGGTGAGATTTCAGTCCATCTTCTTGTTAATCCTCACCTGAGGATGTGTCTCCATTGATTTTTAGGGAGAGTGGGAGGGGGAGGGAAAGATAGAGAGGAACATTGATGTGAGAGACACACATCGATTGGTGGCCTCCTGCACGCGTCCTGACCAGGGCCCAGTCAGGGAGGAGCCTGCAACCGAGGGATGTGCCCTTGACTAGAATCAAACCCAGGGCCCTTTGGTCCGCAGGTGGCACTCTGATCACTGAGCCACACCGAAGGCGCAGGTCCATCTTTAATGGGGACCTGCTTTGCGGCGGGCACTGTGCAGAGGGTTCACAGAGGCTCTGCAATCTTCACGGAAGCCCAGGATGTGGCTCCCACCGTCTCTCAGAACGAGAGAGCGAAGGCCCGGTGAGCTTAGGTCACTTGCCCGAGGTCCCTCGGTGACCGCTGGGCCCGGCCCAGGCCTGTGACTCCCAGGGCCACACTGTTCGCTCTCAGGGCGCAGTAGCTGGTGGCATTTTAAACGGTCGCCATAAGAAACGTCCAAACCTGTGAAGAATTCTTACGAGTTTATCTGAGCCAAACTGACCATTGCGGGGAAGCAGAGAGCTGAATGGGTTGGGGTCATGCTCAGGAGAACGGCAGTCCCTCACCTTGTTTCATACGTTACATCAGAGGAGACGGAAGTGGGTTGGGTGAGCTCCATCGGGGATGGATTAGAGAGGTGGGAGAAAGCAAATTGGGGAGGCCTCTGGGATGGGGTAGAAGGTGGGGTAGAAGGTGAAGTGATCCATCTTTCACAGGGGTGAGTACTGGGTAATTAATAACCAACAACTAACGTGATAACAATAACAATGAGAGGATTCCAGGCTCTGCCCGCCCACAGGCTGTGCCCTGAGGGGTCTGGAAAAGGGAATTTAGCCTGACTTTCCACAGGAATGCTGCCCTGGATGCCAAAGGCACAGGCAGGCTCAGTCAAGGTAGAGGCTGACTTTGCCGCGAAGATTCTAGCCCAGGACATGCCCGCCACCACCAACTGCGTGTACTCAGCAAGTTCCCATTCAGGCCACCCTCTGTGGTGACTTCAGGCCTCTGAGCTGGTCGGGTAGCGTGGCCCCTGTGTGTCCACGGGTCTGCAGGGAACGGGAAAACAGTGAGGGGTCCCGTGGGCTGGTGCCTCTGGCGGAGCGTGTGCCCTGAGGGGTGGGAAGTGGGGTTCGCCCTGACACCCCGGGTCAGTTAGTGTAGCTGCAGGAAGACAACGGACAGGCTCAGGGGAGCTCTCCTTTTGCCTCCAGCTGAGGCTGGCAGTGAAGGTGATGGCTTCCGCCGAACTGGCCCGCCCTCGTGGCTCTGGGTCTCGGGCGGCACCTGTCTTCCTCCTGCTGACCCGCCTGGCGTTCACCTGGTGGTCAGTGCCCGGCGTTCATTCACCTGGTGGTCAGGGCCTGGCGTTCACCTGGTGGTCAGGGCCGGGCGTTCACCTGGTGGTCAGTGCCCGGCGTTCATTCACCTGGTGGTCAGGGCCTGGCGTTCACCTGGTGGTCAGGGCCGGGCGTTCACCTGGTGGTCAGTGCCCGGCGTTCATTCACCTGGTGGTCAGGGCCTGGCGTTCACCTGGTGGTCAGGGCCGGGCGTTCACCTGGTGGTCAGTGCCCGGCGTTCATTCACCTGGTGGTCAGGGCCTGGCGTTCACCTGGTGGTCAGGGCCGGGCGTTCACCTGGTGGTCAGTGCCCGGCGTTCATTCACCTGGTGGTCAGTGCCTGGCGTTCACCTGGTGGTCAGGGCCGGGCGTTCACCTGGTGGTCAGTGCCCGGCGTTCATTCACCTGGTGGTCAGGGCCTGGCGTTCATTCACCTGGGGGTCAGTGCCTGGCGTTCACCTGGTGGTCAGTGCAGCCGGAGGAACCGGGAGGGGTGGGAGGAAATCATGTTCCCACCCGGACCCATTCAGCGGTGAATTTCTTAAAATCGTCCTCCCTGTGCTTCCGCAGTGAGAACGGAGCCGGAGGCATCGTCGTCGTCTGGGGAAGTGGAAATCCTGGGCCCATTTTTCAGTTCCCCCGCAGTTTGAGATTCAGGTTCAAGGTCAATTAATCCTGGATTTGGGGGTTTGTAGGACATGTGAGTTAAATTGCCGGGGAAGCGGGAAGCAAGGGTCTGGACTATTTGGGAGGCTGCGCGCAGGAGACGAGGATGAAAGGAGTGTGGACGGAAGGGGCCACGTGCTGACCTGACCAGCTCAGGGGAGGCCTGCATGGCCGTCTTGCAAACTCAGACCTAAAGTCACCACAAGGATGGTCTGAAATTAAACTTTAAAAGCAGTGATGGTGGGCAGTTACGTCCTAGGCCGGTATCTTCTCTGACAAGGTCAACCTTTACCTTCACTGAGCCTGTCTTTTTACATCTATGATAATGTACTCTTGAAATGTCTGGGTAACTTGTAACTTCCCTTTTTCTGGAGCCCCTGGGGCACAGCCGAATGTGTGTGGGCCCCAGGACAGAGACCACAAATTCCTTCATCATCATGCTAATTGTTTCAGCACCCAACTAAGTGTGTGTCCATCATTTTACTTTTATCCAATCCCAGGGGTTTCCCTCCTTTGCTTATCCCTCCTCCTTAATCTGTCACCAATGAATTTCAGGTAACCCACCTACGTCCCTCCTCTGATTTCAATGTATAAATACAGATGTAACCCGCCATTCTCCAGAGCATTATCTCAATTCCTTGAGGTTCTGCTTCCCGGCATATGTCGACAGTTTGGCTCAAATAAACTCACACAAATTCTTTACAGTTTCAATGGGTTTTTACGTTAACAGGAGCAGGTGAGCGTTCCAGCTCTCTCACCGCAATAGTGTCAGAAGTGGGCCCCTGCCGGTGCCGGGAAGGCAGCAGGGGTGGTAGATACGGGCAGCTACGATTTACCGACAACCTATGTTTGTAGACGTGGAACTAAAACAGTTAGGAATTGACCCTGGTTCTTCAGGAGCGCTGGGTTCCTGAGCCAGATCTCTGCCTGGCCGCCCAGACTCGGAGCGTGGCTGTGCCTTCCGAATTAGGCTCATGCACACGGCAGCCTTTGTCACAGTCATGCCCCCACTCACATTGCATCATGGAACGCGGCTCCTCTTGGGACTTGCCTACCTCCCCGGGGAGGGAGCAGTGATGTCGAGGGGAAATGTAACTGGACAACTGAGGCGTCGGGCTGCCTGTCACTACTTGAGCCAGTTCAACCCCCATAAGCCAGCTGCTTACATTGGGTAGAAGGACAAAGATGATGTGGGGAAGTAGGGATTACAGGCGTGGGAAAGTAGACTCCAGATAATTGGCGGTGGGAGGGCGGGGGAGGGTGGGCGCCTCCGGGCACCCGGGACCAGATGACAGGCCATAGGGCCTGGGGGTTGTACAGAGCAAGTGCCTCCGGGACTAGGTCATTTCGGCCACGAGGTTGTCAATCTTTCCATGATGACAGGCAGTTCTCAGGAGGATGGACCGCATTCCGTTGTGAGCTCCCCTGTCCCAGGGCGCACAGCTCCCAGCAGGTGAGGGTGTGCTTTCTGTAATCGAACAGAACCATCAGGTTAACAGAGCAGGACTCACAGTTCTGATCATCGGAGCTGGTCCCCGATATTCTCTTTCTGCCCGAACAGAACGAACAGGAAGGTGAGTTAGAGCAGGTCTTGCCCTAAAAGTCTGCGCGCTGCAGTGCCCTTGCCTGGCCGGCCCTCTCCTCTGCTGCGGAGGCGGTCCCGCTGGCTGGGAAGCGGCCTCTCGCTCACTGCTCTCTCCGCACAGTTCAGGGCTTAGCGCACCCGCTTCCACGAATACCCCCACCCTCTCCCCTGTGCGGCCCGGGGCCCAGGCTGGCCGATGCGGTGAATGTGTCCTTCGAAGGAAGCGTGTCCTGCCATCATCCCGGGAGCGTCACTGGCCACAGACATGGAAACAGCCTCCCCCTGGGCGGTGGCACCCGACCCGGAGCCAGGGACTCGCTCCTGTTTATTCCCTCGCTGACCTTGTTTGTCATATTTTATTTCCTTTTTTAAAGTAAATTAAAAAAAATTTTTGATTTCAGAGAGGGAGAGAGAGAAACATCCATGACGAGAGAGAGGATCATGGATGGGCTGCCTCCTGCACGCCCCCCACTGGGATTGAGCCCACAACCCGGGCCTGTGCCCACAACTGGAATCGAAGCCGGGACCCTTCAGTCCACGGGCCGATGTTCTATCCACTGAGCCACGCCAGCTAGGACATGTCCTATTTTCCTCGTGACTGGCAGGTGGGCGCCTCTGAGTCACTTCCCTTCCTGTCTTCTGCTTTTCCCTCTCACGGTTCCCAGCCTGCGTGTCCACCGGGCCTTCTGGAATCATCCTGGGAGGCGGGAGGTGGCCCTGAGTTTATTCTGGCTCACGGGCGGGGTTCTGCAGGTGAGGAAGCCGAGCCAGGGGTCCCGTGACCTCACGGGCTGTATCCAGCTCCTTCGTGCACAGCAGAGAGCAGAGACCCAGCCTCACTGCCGCTCCACCCACAGAGGTCAGCGCCCAGTGACTGTCTGTGCGACGGGACCGGCCCCTCCCTCGGGGTCACTCTAGGCGCATGGCCCGTCCTGCCTTTAGTTTTGTGGCGGCTGGGCCACGGCCACCTGGTGAAAGCCATGACTCGGATCTTCTCAAGAGAATATTACCTGGTCTGTAAGGCAGGTCTGCCCCCAGCAAAGGGACCTGAGGACCGTGCTTGAGCAGGACACCCTCGCAGGGCCCACTCCTCGTAGTATTGGCTGCCTCCTGCACGCCCCCCACTGGGGATGGAGCCCACAATCTGAGCCTGTGCTCTGACCGGGAATTGAACCGTGACCTCCTGGTTCATGGGTCGTCGATGCTCAACCCCTGAGCCACGCCAGCCGCGCGGAAACCCTGTTTTTATGGAGAATGAGCTGCTTCATGGCCTCTTCCCATCAACAGCCTCCCACACGCTGCCTTTTCTCACCACCAGTAACCTGTCCCCGCCTGTTCATCCCCAGCCCGGATGGTTTGCGGGTTTGGGTTAGACACGCACAGGGAGGTGGGCCGGAGGAGCCAGTGCCGGTCAGGCCGGTGGTGCCCGTGAGGCCGGTGGTGCCCGTGAGGCCGGTGGTGCCTGTGAGGCCGGTGGCCGGAGGGCCTCATCTGGATGCAGGAGAAAGACCTGAGCTGACAATGGCGCTTCCTCACCCGAGGCCTCTGGGCCGCAGGGAACAGAAAGATTGCCTCTTGCAATGGGTGGTCTGTTGCCGTCACTTTCCAAGATAACCCCCGCGCCCCCCCGCCCCCCGCCTGTGCCATCATGATAGCGCAGGGGTCGGAGAAGGGGCCAGATGCGCTCAGGGGACGCATTTGCATCCGGCAGCAGCTCCTGTGAGCTCGCTAAGCGCTCTAGGTGACGCGGAATAAAGCTCTGGTTTTATTGGACGAGTCGGTCCTTCCCGGTCGGACTCCCAGCTGTCCTCGTCCTGTCGCGGCGCCGGGCAGGAAGCCGTGAGCCGTGCAGGCTTTCGGGGGCTTTGCTCCGAGCCTCACCGCGTAAGAGGTGGAGCTGGGGTCCAGCCCGTCCGTGGAGACGCCACCCACCATCTTCCGCTGTGGCCCATCGAGTATTCGGGGAGCCGCCGGCTGAAAGCAAGTGGCCCTCCGGCTCCCCTGTCCTGCGTGTGGAAGCTTCTAGCGTTCATCTCAGTTGCCTCTGAAAGTAACGCCCCTTCATCTTCCTGTGCAGATGGCCGCTCCCGGACGCACCGCGGGGGCCCTCCTGCTGCTGCTGCGCCTCAGCCTGGTGGCGGGTTATCCCAGCGGCAGGGTGACGGAGTCCTGCGGGGACATGGTCCCCCGACACGGCCACGCCCCGCGCCCCGACCCCGTCCACCGCGTGGCCGTGGCCCGGACGACATTCATGCCGGGAGACCAGATCGAAGGTACGCGTGCGGGGGTCCCCGTTCACAGGCCGGGGTGCATCCTCCCGCTGCACCTGAGGGGCTGTCACCGTCCGAGTCCCAGTCCCCGTGAGGCCCTCACCTGCTCGGTGGATGCCATCGTCCTCACCCCATGCTTCCCACGCGTGTGTTTAGCTGCTGCAGACGCTCCGTGACCTACGTAGTATGTCTGCTCCCCATTCAGGGCTGGTTTTCAAACATGTGCTTATAATGTTTCATGTGTTGTCAGGAACAATACTATTCACTCCACAGAAAAGGAAAATAAAGTTTACTTTATTTGGTTTGAGATATCATAAACCCTTATCTTTCTTTTTCCTTTTTATTGAGCCTTTCTCTTTCTTTTTTATTGATTTTTTTTTTTTTTTTTTTTTCACAGAGAGGAAGGGAGAGAGACAGAGAGTTAGAAACATCGATGAGAGAGAAACATCGATCAGCTGCCTCCTGCACATCTCCCACCAGGGATGTGCCCGCAACCAAGGCACATGCCCTTGACCGGAATCCAACCCGGGACCTTTCAGTCCGCAGGCTGATGCTCTATCCACTAAGCCAAACCGGTTAGGGCCTTTCTCTTTCTTTTTTAATTTTTAAATATATTTTTATTGATTTCAGAGAGGAAGGGAGAGGGAGAGAGAGATAGGAACATCAATGATGAGAGAGAATCATTGATCTGCCGCCTCCTGCCCCCCCCCTCCTGGGGGTCGAGCCTGCAACCCGGGCCTGTGCCCTGACCGGGAATCAAACCTGTGACCCTTCAGTCCACAGGCTGACTCTCTATCCACTGAGCCAAACCGGCTAGGGCCCTCTTTCTTGATACAGTGAAATCTCTTCTACTAGTAGTGCCTTGATTCTTCTGGCAAAATGTGGACTGGCTAAAGGCGTATCTCGAACAGCATTCTGCAAACTCCACTTCCTGCAACTATTCCCAGCACTCTCTAAGCAGAAGAGGATTCGGAAAGCACACTTTACGTGCATATATCAGACCTCTTAGCGTTGCATGCTGCGTGGTAGACGGTACAGGGCCTAAGGATTCGCGGTGAAGAAACAGCATCACTTTCATCCAGCGTTTTCCACACGAGTTTGGCCTCAGGGGCCTGACCATGGCCCACCTCTCCCCGCGGGACGGCGGTTAGCGTCTCTCGCAGCGACTGTCCCGTGCAGCCGAGCCTGGAGCCGTGTCTAGGGGCCGGTCGCTGCCGTGTCCTCTCCCGGGGAAGCTCTGTGTGTGGGAGCCGTCGGGACCCGGCCGCGCCTCCTCCAGCAGGTCCCTCTGGGCAGTGCCAAACCTCTTCCCCGTCTCTCTGTTGCCACAGTTACGGTGTCGGGGCCGGAGTTTAAAGGCTTTCTCATCGAGGCCCGGGATGCTGAGGATCTGAGCGGCGCTCCTGTGGGCTCCTTCACGCTGATTGACAGCCAGGAGTCCCAGCTTCTGACTTGTGGAGATAAGCAGGTTTGTGGCTGGTTTAAAACCGGTTTCTGTCTGTTTCCACGGGCCTTGTCACAGGAGGGTGGCGCGTGCAAGATAAACGACATCGCCCACGTGATGCCAACATCTAAACAGATGCCCAGTGACCCAACTCCCCCTTCATCCCCCCATTTTACTACTGGCAATCTACACATGGCCATCCTAGGCAAGTCAGGGCAGAGCTTGAAGAGTGTATGCCTCCTAATACTTCATGTGCTACTGACTCTTAGCGTGTTGATTTTGGAAGGTGTAAATGTTGAAGATAGAGTTCTAGAGAGGGACGGAAATTCAAGTTTTGTCATTCATTCGTTTGTTTAGTAAGCATTTATTATCCCAGGAACTGTCTTGGAGAGCTCATAGCCGGGGACACGAGTAAAGCATGCGGACACGTGACATGGCGCATGGGTAGGACGTGGATGTAGGACAGACACATGGTAGACCAGTAAGATGACGTAGGTTAGAAGCACCCACAGGACGGGGGGAAGCATAGCTAGGGAGCCACACCCAGGCTCGAGGGGATGGAGAGGAAGCTGCTCGGAGGGCCCGACCCCAAAGCTGGGCCACAGGGCATCTGCCAGGTGAAAGGAAGAGGGAGGTAAGATTGAGAGAAAGGAATTATGCAAATATAATCACCACCTATTTGGAGGCGGGAATACTTTTTCTTTTCATGAATCTTCTGTGTACTAGTTGCATGTATGAATGGAAGGAATATACATTTTTAGTATAAATGAAATAGCAAGCCAAACACGCCCAGTATTCATAACTCTCTCTAGTTCCTTTTTTTAAAAAAATATGTTTTTTTTATTTCAGAGAGAGGGAGGGAGAGAGATAGAAACATCAATGATAAGAGAGAATCATGGATCGGCTGCCTCCTGCACACCCCCCACTGGGATCAAGCCTGAAAGCGGGGCACGTGCTCTGACCGTGAAGCAAACCTTGACCTCCAGGTTCATAGGTCGACGCTCAACCACTGAGCCACCTGGGCCGGGCTCTCCTTAGCTCTTGCATTTCTGCGGACTGGGATTTATTCAGAGCCAGAGCTAGTCTGGTCTCCCCAGGCAACCTGCATGTACTGGGTACGTGAGGCCCTGTTCTAATAAAAAGGTCTCTACCAGAGGCCGAGGCCGCGCACTAATAAGTCCCTTTGCAAGTGAGACCGCTCCGGCCCTGCGGAGCCGGCCAGGGCTGACGGAGAGCTCTTTCCCATTCATCACAGGGGTCAGCGGTGAGCCACACCAGTGCGCACAAGAAGACAGAAGTGAGAGTCTACTGGGACGCCCCCGGCAGCGCCCCCAACCACGTGCAGTTCCTGTGAGTACAGAGACCAGGGTGAATGAGGGTGTGCGGTCTTGGCATGTCGGGGGGATTGTGCAGTTTAGTCTCTGGCCTGAGGTTGGGAGCGTGCGCCCTAATGACAAGTCAGAGTAGAGAAGAGGAGGGGCGGGGGGGGGAGGAGGAAGAGCAGATTCAGGAGAAGAAGGAGGAGGAGGAGGAGGAGGAAGAGGAGGAGGGAGAGAGCCATCAGAGATCTGGTAGGCACTCCTAAGTTGCGTGTCCCTTCTGAACTCCTTCTCACCGCTTGGAAGTTTCGATCTGCCTGCTGGGCCACAGTTGGGGTTCTGGCTGACGCCCCGGTTCTGCGTTTCAGGGCCACGGTCCTGGAGAAGTATAAAAGCTACTGGGTGAGGATTCCTAGTCCTGTCATTTCACAGCCAAAGGCCCCGCCCTTTTCAACACCTGGGACCACACCAGCGCCTTCGCCAGCCTCGCCTGCAGTCTCCCGCCTCACCAAAACAGTGAGTCGCCTCCTGTGGGTCCCCAAACGCCGTCTAGGGGAGCACCTCCTTGGGAGCTGGGGTTCTGTGCTCGGGGCCCTGTGAGGAGAAGCAGCGCTCCTGAGCCGTGGTGGCAGCAGGCGGGTCTCAGCAGGGTCCTGAGGGAGGCCCTCCTCCAGCATTAGGGCTGCAGGTTAGAGGGGGGAGCACAGCCCTGCACCTTCCAGCGCGGCCACCACACTGACACAGTCCCTACCAGCGGGATGCCA